AAGACCGCCACCCCGCCTGGATACAAACCGGGGTCACCACCCTCCTTCAGAACAGGGACCCCGCCTGGCTTTCGAGGCACCTCTCCGCCAGCAGGCCCAGGGACCTTCAAGCCAGGCTCACCCACTGTGGGGCCAGGGCCCCTGCCACCTGCGGGGCCTTCGAGTTTGTCATCTCTGCCTCCACCACCCGCGGCCCCAGCGACAGGGCCGCCCCTGACTGCCACGCAGATCAAACAGGAGCCAGCTGAAGAGTATGAAGCTCCTGAGAGTCCGGTGCCCCCGGCCCGAAGCCCCTCGCCCCCTCCCAAGGTGGTGGATGTGCCCAGCCACGCCAGCCAGTCAGCCAGGTGAGCAGCCGTGGGGTTGGGTGCAGGTGGGTCTGGAAGCGGAAGACGAAGGGACGACGGTCACCGTGCTATTGACATCAAGGACACACGCGGGTGGGGGCCGCTTTAGGGACATGGGCTGGAGGGGGCTCCCCTTGAGGCTCGGGCTCACAGCCCTGCGCCCGCCCGGCAGGTTCAATAAGCACCTGGACCGTGGCTTCAACTCGTGCGCGCGCAGCGACCTGTACTTCGTGCCGCTGGAGGGATCCAAGCTGGCCAAGAAGCGCGCGGACCTGGTGGAGAAAGTGCGGCGCGAGGCCGAGCAGCGCGCGCGCGAAGAAAAGGAGCGCGAGCGCGAACGGGAGCGCGAGAAGGAGCGCGAGCGCGAGAAAGAGCGCGAGCTGGAGCGCAGTGTGGTGAGTGCGTCACAAGGTGCGCCGCGCGCCTCTCCCGGTCCCGGGCTTCGCCACTCCGGTCGCTTCGCCACCTGGCGGAGGGGAGGAGCCACTGCAGCCCCGAAAGCTCAGGCTTCCAGGCAGGAGGAAAAGAAAGCTGGGAGTGGGGTGAGGCGTTTTGGCTTTTCCCCACTGAGATAGTCGGGCGACGTGGGGCTGAGACTTCCCGGAACTGCAGTTCTGACCCCTCTTTTCTGTATCCTGCAGAAGCTGGCCCAGGAGGGCCGTGCTCCAGTGGAGTGCCCGTCTCTGGGTCCAGTGCCCCATCGGCCTCCCTTTGAGCCTGGCAGCGCTGTGGCTACAGTGCCCCCTTACCTGGGTCCTGATACTCCTGCCCTGCGCACTCTCAGCGAATACGCCCGACCTCACGTCATGTCTCCTGGCAATCGCAACCACCCATTCTATGTGCCCTTGGGGGCAGTGGACCCGGGGCTTCTGGGTTACAATGTCCCAGCCCTGTACAGCAGCGACCCAGCTGCCCGCGAAAGGGAGCGGGAAGCCCGTGAACGTGACCTCCGTGACCGGCTCAAGCCTGGCTTTGAGGTGAAGCCTAGTGAGCTGGAACCCCTACATGGGGTCCCCGGGCCAGGCCTGGATCCCTTCCCCCGACATGGGGGCCTGGCTCTACAGCCTGGGCCGCCTGGCCTGCATCCTTTCCCGTTCCATCCGAGCCTGGGGCCTCTAGAGCGAGAACGGCTAGCGCTGGCAGCTGGGCCAGCCCTGCGTCCTGACATGTCTTACGCTGAGCGGCTGGCAGCAGAAAGGCAGCATGCAGAAAGGGTGGCAGCCCTGGGCAATGACCCTCTGGCCCGGCTGCAGATGCTCAACGTGACTCCCCATCACCACCAGCACTCCCACATCCACTCCCACCTTCACCTGCACCAGCAGGATGCCATTCATGCAGGTAAGACGCTCTCTGTCCTCGCTTTGAACTGCGGCTCTGCTGTACCCCATAACGTTCTTCCGTTCCTGCTGGTCAGGCATCAGTCACCCTCTCCTGAGATTACCGTTCTCATCTTTGCTGGACTTCCCTCCATTTCTCATGCCCTCTTCCTATCCCAGCCTTCTGCTCTTGATAACGCACAAAGCCGGAGCCTTTTGAAGGATCGCCTCTTCTCTGTCTTCATATTCTTTCTCTAAGCCCCTCACATGCCAGCGTTCTTGTTCCTCTGTATACAAATCTCGTTTGTTGCCAGCATCTCCTTCCCTTACATCTAGGGATCTTCTGTGTTTCTGCCCATCTGCAGATTTAGAATCTTTTAGAGAAACCCATGTAAGTTTGGTTTTGGTGCCATACTGTATATATAAGTGCTCAACTGTAGCGCTTATAGCCCAGAACACTGCCTGGTTGGCTTTAGACTCGTTTATTTTGAGTTGCTCGTTTCTTCTCGCCCTCATCCGTTCTCCCTCATTAGAGCATTGATTGATGTATTTAGTAAGTATACAACATAGCAGGCTTTGGGCATTCTCATATAGTGCCTTCTGCTCATATTCATTCCACCTCTTAATATTTTTCCTGTCTCAGTTCTTGAACTCAAAAAATGACCAGTTTTCTAAAAGTATCCTTCATCCCTTCAGAGCAGTGTGTTCTTTTCTTTCCTCCTCAGTCCTCTCTGCTAACTGTGATCTGTTTTCAGTTACACGTCCCTCTTACCAGCAGTTTCTTCTCTTCATCTCAGAGTCTCTAGCTCCCATTATGCTCTGTTCTGCTTTGGATCCCTTGGGTCTGTCTTCACAGGCGAAATCCCTCCACCCCAATGCATGGTTGTTCCTAACCCTGCCTCCTGGTGACACCTTCCTTTCTCTGCCCTCCAGCCTCCGCCTCGGTGCACCCTCTCATTGACCCCCTGGCCTCAGGGTCTCACCTTACCCGGATCCCCTACCCAGCTGGGACCCTCCCTAATCCCCTTCTTCCTCACCCTCTGCACGAGAACGAAGTTCTTCGTCACCAGCTCTTTGGTAAGGATGGAAGTTGGGATGGAGAAACTCACGTGAGGGAAGGCCAGAACAGAGGGATTAGGGTGGCAGAGTGGGCCTGTAGAGTTTGGAGAGAGAGGTGAGGAGCTATGGTAGAAACAGAGGCTGAGGTCCTCCTAAAAGAGGCTCAGGTTCTAGGCCCAGGCAGAGAGAAGTTGGCACTTCTGGTTCCATTCTAGCCCTGGCCAATTGTAGGGCAGGCGGTGTAACTTTACAGCTTAGCCTTAGTTTCCGGTCTGTGAAGTGGCTGACCATCCCTATCCACCCATCACATGCTCCTGTCCTTCCTTCCCACAGCTGCCCCTTACCGGGACCTGCCAGCTTCCCTTTCTGCTCCCATGTCAGCAGCTCATCAGCTGCAGGCCATGCACGCCCAGTCAGCTGAGCTGCAGCGCTTGGCGCTGGAACAGCAGCAGTGGCTGCACGCCCATCACCCATTGCACAGCGTGCCACTGCCCGCCCAGGAGGACTACTACAGGTACGGCAGGTGCTCCCAGAGCACAAGGGGAGGTGGGTATGGGTATACCAAGAGGATACCAGGCCCGTGGGAGGGGCCCTCCTTTCTCAGTCTCATCTCTCTGATGCTTTGCCTCTTATTAGTCACCTGAAGAAGGAGAGCGACAAGCCGCTGTAGAACCTGCGATCCAGAGAGCGCCCACTGCTCCTTTACCCAGACCTTGGAGGACTCCTCCACTCTTTTGCCGCACCCCACCCCCACCCCAAAGCCGAGGAGAGGGTGCTGCCCACTGGCAGAGCTTCTGCAGCTGGGCAGAGGGAGGGAGGGAAGAAGGGACAGACAAGGTTAAGGCCCAGGGTTGTGTGCAGAGGTGGGAAGTGGCAAGGGTGGGGACAGAAAGTGCACAGTATCTTGGACCAGGTCCCTCTTCCTTATCCCCTGCTTTTCTTCTCCTCCATGCCCAATCCTTGGTGCCACTGCTCCTCCCCTAACCCATTGATGTGATTATTTCATCTGTTAGATGTGGCTGTTTTGCGTAGCATTGTGTGCTGCCCCTGCCCCATCCCCCTGTGTGCACCCCCCTCGGCGATGTGTGCCCCTTGCCCGTCCCACATTAATAATTTATATATATAAATATCTATATGATGCTCTTTAAAAAACACCCTGACCAAAACCAACCAAACAAAAACATCCTCACACTTCCCCAGGAATTTGTCTGTGACTTATTTGGGGGGGGGGGTGTGGGTCTGGTGGGGTGGGAGGTCTGATTGTCTTAGGGGAAATGGGAAGAGATGTGGGGGGCTTGACCATGCATCCCCAGTCATGCTTATGGGGGTACCTCACACTATTTCTCTGGTTTCTCCTAAGACTGGGAAGTTAAGGCAGCTGAGGCCTTTGAGAGTAAGAACAGGCCCACAGTGAACTTGACCTGCTCACACCTTGGAAGCATCCCTGTCACCGACCCGACCAGATTGCTCCAGAAACAACTTCAGGGATCTAACTCCCTTTCCATAGCCTAGTTTGATAAATGATTTTGAAACAGTTGAATTTACATAACCTCAGTAGGCCAAGAAGATATGTATTACTGATTTTCTTAAAGATTTATTTTTATTATATGTATAGGTTCATGTCTGTGCCCATGAATGCAAGAGCCAACAGAGGCCAGAAGATGATGTTGAATCCCCTGTAGCTTGAGTTACAGGCAGTTGAGAATTGTCAGGCAGGGTGACCCCTCTTTGCAGCCCCTCTATTTTTAATGAGGCAAGGTCACGTAACCCAGGCTGCCCTTGAACTTGTGGCTTTCCTACCTCTTAGTTTTTGTGTTAGTACCACAGAAGTGCGGTACTATGCCCCTTAGGGCCTGACGTTCTGGATAACCCTTGCATTTTGAGGAGGGGATGGGTGACAAGAGCCTAGAAGGCATCGGGCCACATCGCCTACCACTCCATAAGGCCGATTACACCGGCTTTCGCTCCAAGCTTTTATTATTGCGAAGTCCTGCTTTTGCTCACAGCAACGAAGGAGCTGTGATTGGCTGTTCTTAGCCAATCAGCATCGGGTTATTTGCATAGTCCTCTACCAGACGGTGACAAACTCAAGAAACGACCGGTTTTAGTAGTCTTCTAGAATATTATTTACCGAATTGGATAATAAAAGTGTGCTTTGCTATCTGTATACTTCTGGGGGTGGGAAGATGGCACGCTGATCTCACCCTCACCGAAAGTGGAGTTTGTGCCTTTCCCGGGCTCGCTGCTAACGATGCTCGTGAGTGTTACAGCTCTTTTAGAATTTGTCTAGCAGGTTTTCTGGCTCTTGCCGGAAAACCCCTCCCAATCTCACTGGTTAACAAGAATAGCAACGGGCCCAGCTTGGCGGCTGGTGGTGTTTTTTTCTCGCTGTGGTCCCCTATTCCTCTAGGACTTCCGTGCGTGTGTGTTAGGTCCACGCTCGGAGACTTCCGCCTCGCGCGCTATAGCTTCCTTTCCGCCTCCGCTGGCCCGCAGCCGTGGTAGGAGGCTGCTGGCTTCTCCAGATCTCTTCGGTGTTCCCATAGTCAAGTAGCGACTGGCGTTCTATGGCGTCCGCCTCGGCCCAGCCCGCGGCCCTGAGCGCAGAGCAGGCCAAGGGTGAGCCTGGTCCAGGCGTGGGCCGCCTTTAGGGGGAGGGCCTTACTACCCATTCCTTCTCCAAGTGGGGCCTTTGCCCAGTAGGGCGAAGGGTTGGGAGGACGAGCTTATCGGGTTACTGATCTCCTCGGTCCACTAATTCCCTGCCTCTTCCCTCCTCTGGGCTCGCCCGCCCTGCTCCGCGGACCTCTCTGGGATGCTTCGGTCTTGCAGTGGTCTTGGCGGAGGTGATCCAAGCGTTTTCGGCCCCAGAGAACGCCGTGCGCATGGACGAGGCTAGAGACAATGCATGCAACGATATGGGCAAGATGCTGCAGTTCGTGCTGCCAGTAGCCACACAGATCCAGCAGGAGGTTATTAAAGCCTATGGCTTCAGTTGCGACGGGGAAGGTGGGTCCCACTTGGAATGGCGGTGGGATGGATTGGGGGTGGGGCTCATGATCAGTGGCCCCCGAGTCGATCTCTTTCTCGCCACAGGGCGGCAGTCACATCAAACATTGGTACTCAGAGCTCAGGGCCTACCTATCAGCTTTTTTTCCCCTTTCACTCTAAATTTAAAGTATTGACTCTTGAACCCAAGGCCTTATGTTGAGCAAGCTCTCCACCTCTGAGCTATATCTACTCAGCTTTGAATCAGGAACTCACCAAGGTGCCCGGGCTGGCCTTGAACCAAAAGGCTCCTTTATCAGCCTTCTGAGTAGGCGGTATTGACTAGGCTTGAGTCACCAGGCCTAAGTCTAACGTGAGCTCTTGTCTGCCTGACAACAGGCTTCTGCAGTTTGGTGTAGGGGATTGAGATCTCTCTTCCAGGAATTATATATGTTCATTGATTGATTTGGCCCAGCTAGCCAGGGGCTGCTTGTAGATCTGGGATCTTGTTCTTATTTAGGCTGCTTGAGGACAAAACAGCTAACATGGCTCACCCAAGAGTGGAACGTTCTGTTTTAGGACTTTTTCTTTTCTTTCTTTTTTGGTTTTTTGAGACGGTTTCTCCGTGGCTTTGGAGCCTGTCCTGGAGCTCTTGTAGACCAGGCTGGCCTCGAACTCACAGAGATCTATCTGCCTCTGCCTCCCGAGTGCTGGGATTAAAGGTGTGTGCCATCACCTTTTTTTTTTTTTTTTTTTTTGAGACAGAGTTTCTCCGCATAGTCCTGGCTGATCTGGAATTTGCTTTGTAGACCAAGTTGGCCTCGAACTCAGAGAGCTACCTGCCTCTGCCTGTCAAGTACTGGCACTAAAGGCGTGCACCACCATGCCTGGGCACTTTAGGACTTTTTCACATTTATCCAGTTGTGCCTAGTGGAAACTGGGGTGGGGGTTGATGGAAGCCATGCAGGACGGGTGCGATCTGTCCTGCGTTGCCGAGGGCTACCCACTTGTGTCTGTCTACTATCGGGCGTCCGTTCCCTGCCTTGGCACACTGGCCTCCAGCAGGCGTCCTTCCTTGCTCCCTCTTGCAGGTGTCCTTAAGTTTGCCCGCCTAGTCAAGTCTTACGAAGCGCAGGATCCTGAGATTGCCAGCCTGTCCGGCAAGTTAAAGGCCCTGTTCCTGCCCCCTATGACTCTGCCACCCCATGGGCAGGCTTCCGGAAGCAGTGTGGCAGCCTCCTGAGATTTGTTCTTGCGCGTGTGCCACCGCCAGGGAAGACGACCTTGCTCTCCAGAAGATAATAAATGCTTGTGACTAAACCTTTGTGTCGGTCCTTTGTAGTCTTGGCTACCCCCACTTGTTGATTCTCACTGCCTCCGGCCTTTCCCCCGCTTCAGCTTCCTTCCTATACTCTTTGCTGGGACCAACCCTGCTTTCAAGAGCCCCTTTCCTCCTGTCCTCCCAGGGGCCTCTTGGCATCCTGGGAGGTTTGTTCACAAAGGCGGTACCTCCTCCGAACAGTGGGCTTCAAGGCTTTTCTTTGAGCCCTCTTCTTTCCCGGGCCTGAGAGGTACCGTGCTGGGGGCGGTCCCTTGGCTAGGGTTACTTCCTGGTCTTTGCCCCTACCCGCCCTCCTGCTGCTCTGTCAGTCTGAGCTCCAGGTGGAACAGCAGGTGGCTCCTCCCCTTCCAAGAGAAGTAGGCCCTGGCAGGCCTGAAGCCTGCTGGCCTGCCTCGGGCCTCTGGGGACTTTGACTGTGGTGGGCGGTCGCGGGCCAGCCCCGCCCCACCTGACCTTCCCTAGGAGACCTGCCATCCGGGGGCTTGTCCTCAAAGTGTCACAAGTCTGACAGACTGGAGACAGGAGGAAGTGGGTGACAACCAGAATATTCTTCCTGAAGGTCTGGTCTGGATCCCTGGACAGCTGTGCCACTGGATTGGCCCCGCCCCCATCGCCCTTTTCCTGTGACTTCCCCCACTCCTCCAGGGAGATGCTGTCCCGCGGGTAAGTCCCCTGTGCCACCTGTGTCCTACAGACTCCTGTTAGTCTGGGCGGAGTTTGCCACCACGGTCTTGTCACCACCATCAGCCCCTGCCCTGGGTCAGCTTCCTGTCTTTGTCAACTCCTTCCCACAAGATTCAGGACCACCCCCTCCCAGGGTTCATTCATATTCCTCTGCCTCCCTTTTTCTTTCATCAGCCCCCCACCCCCAAATGTGTAACCTCTGGCGTGTGGTCCTCTGCTTCTGCCCCGTCTGGGACCTATCCCCACTGGGTAGCTCACTTCACCTCAGACATGACTGAGGCACATTTGAGAATGTTCTGCCACTCCTAGGCAAACTCCCCCTTACTTCTGAGCCTTGGTTCTGTGTGTCCTTTCCCTGCTCCCCAAAGGGAGCAGACTTAAGTAGATAAATTGAGAATTCCCCGGGGTTGGGTACTGCTGAAGATGCTGCTGTATGGGGAGATGTGGTCTCTGTTTAGAGAGCCGGCTGCCAGGCTGAGGTGATAGAATGGATACCTAAGCCATAGCTAGGATTATTTCAGATGATTGACGGGTTAACGCCCGGCAAAAGAAACACAGAAAGGTGCTGGCAGGTAATGCATGCTGGAGACATTACTGGCTGAAAGGGGGAGGGGGAGCTTTCTGATGAGGTGGCATTTGAGTTAAGACCCAGTAATGAGATAGAGACAGCCATGTTGTGACCAGCAGAAATAGCAAGTGTGAAGCCAGAATAGGAAGTGTTCACTCCAGAGAGAGCCATGGGCAGCTTAGACCTGGGTGGGATTTGGGTAGCTGGTACATTGTTTGTACCAAGTCCCCACTGGTTTTTGCTTTTCCTGCTCCCGGGAGCTGCTCTGTTTGCACTCTTCCTCCCATGTGTGAGGGCGGTACTGAGTCTTCCCAGCGGGCTTGGCACAGCATCTCCTGGTACAGAACCTTTGCTTGATTCCTCAGCCAAGAGCTCTGTTGCTGGGGTCCAGCCCCTTGAACACTTAGGCTCAGCTGCATTGATGGGATTACACTGAACAGCCCAAGTGGTGATGTCATGCACGCACCTCTGAGTCCTGGTCCATCTGCCTGTGGCAATTACCTGCTCTGCCATCTCCCAGCATGCTTTGCTGTGCCAGTTATCTGCCTAGCCTGCTGTGGCAGTGCCGTGGCAGACAACTCTCTGGCCACAGACAGCTTTATTTTTTTCACCTTCCCACTCAACCCACCGCTCACTCAAAGCTTGTGACTCTGGGCAAGTTACTTAATGTGTCTTGAGTTTCTGTTTTTGTTTCTAAAATTCACATAGTAGCAAGTAAACAGTATTGTCATGAAAATTAACCATAATGCAGTTGTCTCAGCGGGTGTAGTGGTGTATGTCAACACTGGGGAGGCTGAGGCAGGAGGATTTTTGAGTTTAGGCTAGCCTGAACTACACAGTAAGATCCTGTTTAAATAAATAAATAATAAAAAGAAAGAATAGGTTACTGTCAGCGGTAGAATACTTGCCAAACATAAAAACCTGAGTTTGATCTCTTTTGCAATAAGTAAATATGGGGCGGTAGTGGCGCCTGCCTTTAATCCCAGCACTCAGGAGGCAGAGGCAGGTGGACCTCTGTGAGTTCAAGGCTAGCCTGGTCTACTGAGTGAATTCCAGGACAGCCAGGACTGTTACACAGAGAAATCTTATCTCAAAAAAGAAAGAAAGAAAGAAAGGAGAAATAAATGAACAAAATAGAGTAGAATAAAAGTAATCACCACACAGAGAAACCCTGTCTTGAACCCCCCTCCCCCAAAAAAATCACCTGCCAGTATCTATTGAGGGATTGGTTCCAGGGAAACCAGAAGATATCGAGCTGTACAGATGTATTTGCATTTAACCTGTAATGTACTAATGCATATTTTCAATCCTCTCCAAGTATTTACCTGACACAATGTAAATGCTATGCAAATCATTATACTGTATTATTGAGGAAATTACGGCAAGGAAAAAAGGTCTGTGCAGCTGGCTGACTCCACAGATGCAAAATTGGAAGACAAAAACCACTGTCAAATGTTAAAGCTGATGACATCAAACTATACCACTTAGGCAAGAATGACCTCCCCAAGGCTGGCATGTGCCGTCACACTTGGCCTTTTGTCCCAGGCTTCAGCCTCCTGAACACTGGGATTTTAGGCGTGAGCCATCACACCTGGTTGCTTTATTAGCCTTTTAGGTCAGAATTTAGGAAATCTTGTTAAGCTTATTTATTAGGTGGGAAGATCAAGGCCCAGAGACGTCCGGTAACTATGTAAGATCGTTGTACCCAGGACCCGTCTCTTGCATCGCCTTGATCTTGTCTTCTTTCACACCCTGCTTCCCAGAGGAATTTCTTTCTCTTCTAGATACCAGGCACTTACTGGCGTTTAGGACTGTCAGCCTCCTTGCGCCTGTTGAAAACAAAGACAAAATCCCTACATCCTTGGTGGTCAAGGGCTCAAATGGGATGATTGTGTATCTTGTCCTAATGTTCTTCCGATTCCAGGGTCCTGTGCCTTGCTTCTTAGGGGATTGCCATTATTTTCCTGCCAGAGGATAGCAGGGGTGGTCCGTCTTATCGGAGTGTCTCATTTTCTGGCTTGACACTCTTTAGATACACTTAAAGGGTCAGGAGTATTAGGTGCCTTCTAAGTTCCTTTGCACAAGTGAGCTTAACCCTGGAAGGAAGAATCCTAGGTCTGGTGCGGTCAGTGTGGTGTTAAGCAGGTACCCGGAACGTCCTGTGTCCCTGTGTGTTGGGGGTCTGCCCCCAGCGAGGTATGTATATGGATGGACACATGATGGGGGGCCTGTGAGTTGTGCTTCTTTATGAGGTCTGCTTGGATATGGCTGTGTGAATCCTTACTCATCTGCCCGCAGGGGCAAACCAGGAAGCATCCATGTAACCTTGACTGTGTAAGTGTATTCACGAGTCTTCTCACTGGATACTTTCCTGGGTTCTGAAGGTTGGGATGGGAACAACCAGGGTGCTTGTGAATCCCTGTGCTGGAACCAGCTATGCATGTGGTTTTCCTGACTCTTGGGGTGAGCTGGGTCCATGGGAGTTCTAGATACTTGATATCCCCAAGAATGACAAAAGACTTGTCATAGAGGGTATTTTTTGTTTGTTTGTTTTTTGTTTCTTAAAACAGGGTCTTGCTATGTAGCCCTGGCTGGTCTGGAACTAACTCTCTATGAAGCTCAGGCTGGCTTCAAACTTGTACTTATCCTCTTGCCTCTGTCTTGCAAGTACTGGAATTCCAGGTGTGTATCACTGTACCTAGCATGACTGTGAAACCCAGGGCTTCCTACATGCTAAGCCAGCGCTTCACCCAGAGCCACACTCTAGCCCTTGCTGGTTTTCATATTCTTTTATTCTTTTCTATTTTTGATACATACCATATATACTATAAATAAATATTAAGTGTACAGCTAACTCTCCACTAATTCGTGACTTTGGGTTTGGCACAGAGATGGAATCCAGCGCCTTGTGCAAGCTACCTTTGAACTACACCTCAAGCATCATACAGTTTTGAAAAAAGTGTAAGGGAACCAGATGTGCTGGTGATGCTTATACTCCCAGCTACTAGAGAGGCTGAGGCAGGGGGATTGCAAGTTCAAGACTACAGAGTGAGTTCCAGATTAGCCTGGGAAACTTAGTGATTGATACCCTGTCTCAAAATAAAAAATAAAAAGAGAGCTGGGGTGTAGCTCAGTATGGGGCATTTGGCTAGCACGTTTGAGGTCCTAGGTTCAGTCCCTAGGACTGCAGGAATATAAAAGGAATCAAATCAATAAGAAAAAGAAATAGGGTGGAGGATTTGCCTCAGTGATGCTTGCCGCCTGCAGAGTGAAGGGACTGGGTTCGTTCTATCTGTGTCTGTCTGTTTGTCTACCTACCTACCTACCTACCTACCTACCTATCTACCTACCTACCTACCCATCTATCTGAAACAGGGTCTCACTATATAGCACTGACTGTCCTGGAAATCATTATGTAGACCAGGCTGGCCTCAAGCAGAGATCTGCCTACCTCTGCCTCCCAAGTGCCAAGATTAAAGGCATGTGCCACCATGCATGGCTAGGGCTTGGGTTCTAATTCCATCATGGCAAAAATACCAAAACTAACCAATCAAAACACCACAAACAAATATGCCCCAAAGGCTATAAAGGACTCTGTCTCAGCTCTGCTTTCTAGCAGCTGTGTTCCTCCTGAAGGGAGACACCAATAGGAGTTTTTGTTTTGTTTTTTAGTTTTTCTGTGTGGCTTTGGAGCCTGTCCTGAAATTTGCTAGGTAGCCCAGGCTGGCCTTGAACTCAGAGATCCTCCTGCCCTTGCCTAAGTGCTGGTACTAAAGGTGTGCACCACCACTGCCCAGCCACCAATAGAAAGTTCTTGGATGTTCTGCTTAGCAACTTGTTTTTCTTCTGACCCTGACTTGATAGTGTTTGCATTTTGTTTTTATTTGTTTGTTTTTGTGTTTATGTTGGGGATTACACACACACAGGGCATCATAAGTCTTTGGTCTGAGAGCTCCTAAAGGTTACTCTCTCTGTGAGCGGCTGCCACGTTGGGACCTTGGCCAACACCCTAGCCTCCAGGACACACACACACACACACGCACGTGCACGTGTGTGCCCTAGCAGAGTCAGAGTATAGGAAAGAGGCCTATAAACAGCCCCTACCAGTAGAAAAGGCCCACACTTGACGGTGCTGCGTGAGGTCATTTCTGTGGGGCGCTCTGCTGTGACAGTGTCTCTTTTGGACAAGGGGTCTGTTGATTACTGTTCTTTGGGTCCTGAGGGTTGGCAGGCAGTATTTAAAAATCATTGGCTTTGAAACTAAACTACTTAGGTCTGAAGCCTACAATTTACTAAGTGAAAAGCCTGGGGCAATTCCTCAAACTTCTTAGCCTCAGTTTCCTTGTCTGTAAAGTGGGTATAAAGATGGTGCCTGCGTGATGAGGTGTGGTGAGGTGTAACTCACGGGAGGAATGTAAATAGCATTGTAGCAATGAGTCTGGCATGTGGCAACACTCCACTAAATGACAGTGTCACTGCACACCGTCGTTATTAGATTGTGCCAAAGAATGCTGCGGAGAAGCGGGGACAAAACCATGAGCCGATGGCCACGAGGATTCACATGTGTGAATCTTGGCCTGGAGGGGCCCGAGGGGCACACATGTGTGTCCTTGTCTCTGGAGTTGCGACTGTTCAGTGCCATATACTCCTGTGCCTTTGATGGCAGACTGTGGCAAGTGGGCCCTCCCCCACCCTGCCACCCTTCTGCTTCTCTTCCCTTGCTCTTGAAAAGAGAAGTACAAGTGAGTTCCCCCAAGGGGTCGGCCGCGCCCCTTCCTGTCTCCGCCCTACTGGCTGTCCCAGGCCAGTGGAGTAGTAGCCCGGTAGCAGGACAGCAGGTTGGGGTTGTAGGAGCTTGGGCTCGGAGAGCCTTGCTTGAGGCTCAGGCCTAGAGTTTTCCCACCTGCCCAGGCAGGCTGTTCCCTTCACGTTCTCTGCAGCTATTTCAGCAAGAGCCCCAGGATGGTGAGGTAAGACCTGGGACCCATGGGAGGCAGGCAGGAAGGATGGTCTGGCCCTCAGGGGACGTTACCTCACCACCTTGTGCACCTTCAGGTGGTTTCATCGGGACCTCAGTGGACCTGATGCAGAGACCCTGCTCAAGGGCCGGGGAGTCCCTGGGAGCTTCCTGGCTCGGCCCAGTCGCAAGAACCAGGGTGATTTCTCCCTCTCAGTCAGGTGGGTGGCTCTCCCTGCGATTTGGCAGCTCAATGTGTGCACATTCTTCGGTTCCCTGGATTGCATTGTCTCCTTATGTTGTATTGCTCCCCCTGTGTCCCTGCCTGTGTCCACCCCATTCCTGGGCCTTTGCATTCCGGCCCCTCAGCCTGTCTGTCCCCCAGCCCATCCCACTTCTGCTCCTGTACCTGGGGCCTCACTTCCTGGTACCCTGCAGGGTGGATGACCAGGTGACCCATATTCGGATCCAGAACTCGGGGGACTTCTATGACCTGTACGGAGGGGAAAAGTTTGCGACGTTGACAGAGCTGGTGGAGTATTACACACAGCAGCAGGGCATCCTCCAGGACCGGGACGGCACCATCATCCACCTCAAGTACCCACTGAACTGCTCGGACCCCACCAGCGAGAGGTGAGGGGCATTGCAGGCTGGCCCAGGCCCTTGAGAGAAGTGTAAAGGAGGTGGGCACCCAGCCCAGGTGGCCTGCTCACTCACAGACTGTGCCTCATCCCCACTCTCCCACCCGTGTTCCAGCTCAGTGCTCTGAGACTCTTTCCTACAACTCACCCATCCCAGGTCCCCCGAGGCAGCAAGAGAAGGTCTCCCCTTGCTTTGCTGCAGGGTTCATGCTGCCTAGCAACCTAGTCCTGGGAGCGACAGTAAGGCTACTTCTTGTGGCTGGTGTTTCCCATCAGGTTGGCCCTATTGCTAGAAAGCTCTTACTTCTATGGAACTCTGTTGCCTTTCCCCAGCTCTCCACAGTCTGGGCCTCTGAGGTCCCCATGTTAGTAAGGCCTTAGAGATCACTTTATTGGGATGCTCAGGGCTTTATCTCAGCAACACAGCGAGGATGGGTTGCAGAGTTTGGATGAAGCAAGGTCATCGACATGGTCACAGGTCTAGAGGGGTAGAGGGTCCAGGCTCGCCTGGCTCCAGGAAACACTCCGGACATCCCCACTAGTGCTGCAAAGACATGGCCCCCATAACCGGACTGGCTATTCTCATGCGGTCTCCCCAGAGTGTGTACCAAGAGAAGGCACACAGATAGATGCCCTCATCGCACCATGGCTCATCTTAGCCGGGCAGCATAGTGAGTAACAGCTCCCATTAAAGTAAAGGGCAGTGGAATAACACTAGGGGCTTCTCCTGGACTTCTGGGGCCATGCCAACTTGTTTTTATTCTGTGTTTGTGTATTTACTGTTGAAATGATTCTGAACCTTGACCCCCCTCTTCCCCTGCTGGGGCCTAAACCCAGGACCTTGTGCGTGCTGAGTGCGTGCTTTGCCACTGAGCTACTTCCCAGCGGTTTTTAGTCTTTTTTGAGATTCGTGCCTACACATTAGCTCAATATTTTTGTTGAAGTCACTGATGAAAACTTAGAGTCAGCGGATCAGAGAGCTTGCCTAGCGTGCATTAAGCCCTGGGTTTGCTTCCCTGCATTGCATAAGCCCAGTGCTGTGGCAGTCCCAGGCGGAGGCAGGAAGACCAGGAGTTCAAGTTCATTGAAGCTGGTCTACACTTCCTTGAAGACTTTCCCATGTGGTGGCAGACAGAAAGGGAGGCACGCCTCATGCTGTCTGTTCTTCTCCCTCTGACCTGCAACTCTCAGGGTGGGTTGGCCTCTTAGATTCGCTTTTACCTCCTCGTCTTCCCTTGTTGCTGTCCCAAGCCAGGAGCTGCTCTCCTAGAGGAGGCCGAATATGGAGGTATAGCAGAATCATAGCTGGTATGTTCACTAGGATAGGGAGGAAGTGGGAGCTGAAAGGGTGTCAGGGGAGCAGGATGGGACAGAGTGGAGAAAGAAGGGGTGCGGGGAAGCATGCTGCACCACTAGGGGGGTAGCAGATGACTCCAAGAGACACTTTGGATGGGCAACTAGAAAGCTGAGTTTCATTCCTAACCTTGAGGTAAGTGGCAGCCAGGGGCCAATACTCCTTGTGTGCTTGCCCCGCCTCTTCAGGGAAATTTGCATTTGTCCCCTCAATGGTGAACTCTCTGCCTGTGGTCAGTTCACATTTGCATGGAGACTTCCTCATCCTGTCCCTGAGGGAAGGAGCTGAACCCCCTCACTTTGCTTGGGGGCTCTGACTTGTCCCTGAGGTAGGTGTGGGTAGGGGTAGAAGCCTCTGACAGGCCCTAGGCTATGGTGTCCCCCTGGCAGAGTTGAGAAGGATCAGGAGGACTAAGCCCCGCTCTCCTTCCCCCTCCATCTCTGCGGTTGGAAAATGCTGCCCCCCCCCTGTCCCTGAGCTGAGGAAACCCTCACAACCTCACTTCTCACTCTCTCCCCAGAAGGAGTTTTGTGTTTTTTCCATCACGTGGTTTCCTGTGAGGCTAGGCATTGTGGGGCTACAGTTTCCTCCTGGGAAGGGGTGCTTCACGGAAAGGCCCTTAGTTCTGCTTTCTGCCCTGCAGCCCCTTGGAGCCCCTTTGGACCCCTGCTGCCCCTTCAGTCACACCATCCTGGGCTCCCTGGAACCCTGAAACCACTCTCCTCAACGGAGTGTTGGGGCCCCCACATCCCTGAGGAATTTTCCATTGGTCCTTCCTGACATCAGTCTCTTCTGACACCCACTGCCATCTGTGGTTTGGGTCCTTCTACATTTTACTGTCCCTCCTTTAACCCAGTCCAAGTCTGTGTTTCACGGGGACCCCTCTTTTTGTTTCTCCAAATATTCTAGGTATTGCTTGCCCGTTTGTTGTAAACAGAAGAGGCTCTAGGTTTTTGTTAGGACCCCCCCTCCTTCATTGCTCCCTCCCTCCCCCCTCCCTCCCTTCTCCCTCCTTTCCTCCCTTCCTCCCTTTTCCCTCCCTCCCTTCCTCCCGCCTCCCTCCCTCCTTTCTCCCTTTATTTTGGTGCTGGGGAATGAATCCAGGGTCTTACATGTCCCACTGAGCTATAACCTCAGTCTCCATGGTTTGAACTCTGTGGAACCTTTTCTTTTATTAGTTGGGGACCTAAGCCCAGTGTGCAAGTGCTTAGCCTCTGTTTTCTGGGAAAATGGCAACCTCTCAGCTTTTGTTTTGTTTCTTTGTTTTAAACGATGTTTGTTACATTTGTACGTGTAGAGGTCAGAGGACACCCTGTTGGAGTTGGTTATCTCCCTCTGCCACGTGGGTCCTGGGGATCAAACTTGGGTTGTGGGGCCTGATAGCAAACATTTTTACCCTCGGCCGTCTCACGCGGAGCCCTTTTCTCCCTTCCTTCCTTTCAACCCACTCTGTAGGCCAGGCTGGCCTCGAACTCACAGAGATCCACCTGCCTCTGCTCCCAAGTGCTGGGATTAAAGGAGTGCACCACCACTGCTAGCCTCTGCTCTTTTTTTCTTTTTTGAGGCAGAATCTTACTCTGTAGCTCAGGCTGGCTTGAAACTCACCATGTAGACCAGGCTACCCTCAAACTTACAGTTATCCCCTTGTCTCTGTCAGCCCAGGGCTGGAATTACAGGTGTGTGTCACTATGTCTGGCTGTTTGTTTTGTTTTTGAGACAGGGTCTTACTCTGTAGCTCAGGCTGGCCTGGCACTTACCATGTAGAGCAGGCTGGCCTCACTGAGGTAGTCCAGCCTACTGAATGCTGGGATTATACATGTGAGCTACGGCTACACAGAAAAACACTATCTTGAGAGAAAAACCAAACAAAATAAAAGTGAGTCATCATAACCCAGCTATTTATTTATAGAAGCAGGTGGGTCTTTTTGTTAGTTTGTTTTTGATACAGGGTTTCTCTGTGTAGCCCTGGCTGTCCTGGAACTCACTCTGTAGACCAGGCTGGCCTCAGAGACCCACCTGCTTCTGCCTGAGTGCTGGGTTTAGAGGTGTGCGCCACTACAAGGACCATGCTGGCCTCCAGTTCATTCTGTTCTCACATCTCCTGAGCTCCAAGCCTGGCTCCTTCCTCTCAGCATTTTTGTGAGATAGCGATGGATCTCAATGTTGCGGTGGATTTGAAAGCTCATAGCTCAGATCTGGCAGGTGTCAGTGCCCACTCGGGCCTGGTCACCAATCTTTTCAACGTACCTAGGTGGTACCATGGCCACATGTCTGGAGGGCAGGCAGAGACGCTGCTGCAGGCCAAAGGCGAGCCCTGGACATTTCTTGTGCGTGAGAGTCTCAGCCAGCCTGGTGATTTCGTGCTGTCCGTGCTCAACGACCAGCCCAAAGCTGGCCCTGGTTCCCCCCTCAAGGTCACTCACATCAAGGTTATGTGTGAGGTAAGTCAGCTGGGCTGTGGGGACGGCCTCATGCCAGAACTTCATCCAGAGCTGTTGGGAGGGTCTTCTGGGGTTGGATTTAAGACTGGGGGTGCCAGGACGGGGTCTCAGTCCTGAGGGGTAGCCCTACTTGGTGTCCTTCAGGGTGGACGCTATACTGTGGGTGGCTCAGAGACCTTTGACAGCCTCACAGACCTGGTGGAGCATTTCAGGAAGACGGGCATTGAGGAGGCCTCAGGTGCCTTTGTCTACCTGCGGCAGGTGAGGAGCCAACCTGCTGCCTCTTCCCTTCCCCTGAGCTGTTGGAGATGTGGGCTTCTGAGGTCTCTCAGTCTCTGATTCCTGCTTTTCCTCTCCCCAGCCTTACTACGCCACTCGGGTAAACGCGGCCGACATCGAGAACCGGGTCTTGGAACTGAACAAAAAGCAGGAGTCCGAGGACACAGCCAAGGCTGGCTTCTGGGAGGAGTTTGAGGTGGGTACTGGGGACAGTGGAGCTGGGATAGATGAGGCCACCTTGCCTTCTTTATGTGCTGTGACATAGCTCTGACCTCTCCACCTGTGCATGTGCCTGGGGCGGGGGCTTAGTTCTCTCACCTTTCAGAGTCTGCAAAAGCAGGAGGTAAAAAACTTGCACCAGCGCCTGGAAGGGCAGCGGCCTGAGAACAAGAGCAAGAACCGCTACAAGAACATTCTTCCCTGTGAGCTCCGCCCCTCTGCCCCTCACTGCTCCCCCCCCCCCCCACCACAGACTCCACCTCCCCACTGCCCAGCAGAGCTCTCCTCCCCCAGGAAGCCTCTTTTTTTTCCACGAGCCTCCCCATAGCTCCCAGGCACCCTCCTGCTCCCGAAGCCTCTGCCCCCACCCCAGACACATTTGCCTCTGCCTGCTGCCCTGTCCTCTATGAGTTCATGGTTTTGGAGACAAGAGCATCTGTTAGCTTGGGAAGGGTCTGCCACAGGGTATGGCCGGCTCAAGCTGTTTCTTTTCTACCCATGCTAGTTGACCACAGCCGAGTGATCCTGCAGGGACGAGACAGTAGTATCCCTGGGTCCGACTACATCAACGCTAACTATGTCAAGGTAAGTTGGGCGAGCCATGTGGGAACAGGCTCTGGTCTCTGAGAGCTCCCTGTGTCTTGGGGTCCATGGGTACAGTACCTCTGGGAAAAGCTGGAGCTGGTGTCTTGGGTAGGATTGATGGTGCTATGAGCACATCCATGCCCACTTACAGTCCTGGGATGGGTCTCTCTGTGTTTGCATCCAGAACCAACTGCTAGGTCCAGAGGAGAACGCTAAGACCTACATTGCCAGCCAGGGCTGTCTGGAGGCCACAGTCAATGACTTCTGGCAGATGACCTGGCAGGAAAACACCCGAATCATCGTCATGACCACCCGTGAGGTGGAGAAAGGCCGGGTAGGGCAAAGCACCACCCTCTTGTCCCTCACATTTTCTTCCTCAGTCCTTGTTCACCACCACACACAAGGAAGATCAGGGGCTGGTGAGAAGGCTCAGAGGCTTAAATGTATTTGCTATCAAGCCTAACTCCATGAGTTCAATCCCTGGGACCCACATGGTAGAAGGAGAGAACTGACTTCTGCAAGTTATCTTCTGAGTGCCACATGCATGCACATGTGTGTTCATACATGTACACTCACAGGGAGATCTAGTTTTATGGGTGTACAGACATATACATACCTCAGTGGCAAAGGCCCAGTGCCTGTTGGGAAGCTGAGACCTGAGATAGTCTCCTCTATACACTGTGACTCCTGGACACCCAGCCCTCCTTAGCTCCAGATGCCCTGTGTGATGATATAGCCTAGTGGCAGAGCGCATGCCCAGTCCTGGAACCCTGGGTTCGATCCTCAGCACCACAGAACAGGGCAAGCATTCTTCATACATCCATTTCTTCCCCTGTCCTCTCTGCCCCAAGCCTCTTGCCATCAGCGGCTCCCCTTTGCTCCCCCTTTGCGCACTGGGAAGTTTTCCTCTCAGAAGCACATGGCATCCAGTTGCTCTCTCTGAAAACCCTTCTGTGGCTCCCAGTTGCTTCTGGGATGGAAAGCTGTCCCTGCAAGCCTGGTGGCTTCCCTCCGATCCTCACGGCTCCCTGTAGTGCACACCACCTCGTTTGAAGGCACTAGCTCAGTTTTTGCCAGGAACTGGCTCCCTGAACCGCCTTGCCTCACAGACTCCGGTTTGGAGTGCTCCGTTCCTGCTTACTCTGTGAGGCTATCCTGCATTGCCCTCTTAGCCCTGTGGGAGAATTGGCTCCTTCCCTAGCCCTGCTCCTGAGACATGCTCTGTATACCTGTGTCTCCTGTCTGTGTATCACCCTGTGTCCTAGGACACGGACCGTGTCTGGCTTGGTCTTCCGGGGTTTGTAGCGCTAGGGATGAAACTTCTGGCTTTGTATGTGTGAAGCACACGTCCTCTCACTAAACTGCATCCACTGTCTGCGTTTTTCTTGAGTTTGAACCACAGCTCAGTTGCTACAGCTTCAGTGGTCACTGAATGGGTTGTAAGATTAGATGGTTGATAGTTCCTATCTTGTAGTGGTTAGCCTGAAGCCAGGCCCCAGGTCTGATTTTGAGCTGGCTCATCCCTCTTTTAACAGACATCCAGGGCAGGGATGGAGAGAAGGCTCAGCCGTCGAGCCATGAAAGCGTGAGGACTGGAGTTGGGGTCCTCAGAAGCTCTCGTACATTCCGGGTGGGCAGAGAAACTTGCTTACAGTTTCAGCTTTGGCAGGAGGATGCAGGGGATCCCCAGGGCAAGTTGGCTAGCAAGGCTTGCCATATTGGTGAGCTCTGGGTTTGATTGAGACACCCTGCCTCAATGAATGAGGTGGAAGAGTGGTGGACGATGATTTCCATCCTCATTCTTAGGCCTCCACATGCAGCCCCCATGTATGTACCTATACACGTGTGCAAAAAAAAAAAAATTCACTATGTCTGGGGCTTAGAAAGCCCCAGAGCTTTGCCTCTGTGCCTTAGCCCTCCCCCTCTCTTTCAGAACAAATGTGTTCCTTACTGGCCGGAGGTGGGCACTCAGCGAGTCTACGGGCTCTACTCTGTGACCAACTGTGCAGAGTACGATACAGCAGAATACAAACTTCGCACTTTACAGATCTCCCCGCTGGACAATGTGAGTGTCCCCAGCCCCTGCACACTCCAGGGGCCTCACCTTCTGTTTGTTCTGTAGTTGGGGTGGGTGGGTGGGACTAGGAAATTGTGTGGACGCAGCAGGCACTGACTCTGTGTCCTTGGCCTAGGGGGACCTGGTTCGGGAGATATGGCACTACCAGTACCTGAGCTGGCCTGACCATGGGGTTCCCAGTGAGCCCGGGGGTGTCCTCAGCTTCCTGGACCAGATCAACCAGCGACAGGAACGTTTGCCTCATGCAGGGCCCATCATTGTGCATTGCAGGTGAGAGGCGTAACATGAAGGTAGTGTTTACAAAGCAGCAGCGGGGGGCTACAGAGATGGCTCGGAGGACCTTGTTTGACTCCTAGCACCTACATAGTGATGTATAACCTTCTCTAACTTCCGTCCCAGGGGATTCAACACCTTTTTCTAACCTACAAGGGCACTGCATGCACATGGTATACAGACATACATGCAGGCAGAACACCTGCACACGTAAAATTGAAACAGCAGCTGGCAGGTGAGCAGTGCTGCCAGCAACATGGCTAGGGACTTACTGTATGCCTTCCCGGACCCCAGCTTCCTCTGAGCCCTCACTACTCCAGGCCTGTGGTGGACCTGCTTGTGGGTCCTTGGGTTTCACCTCTCACTGCTCATTGCTGGGCATGGTGGTATATACCTATAGTTTAGCATTTGGGCACTGAGACAAGGGGATCATGAGTTCCAGGCCATATAACTAAGACCTTTTTTCCCTTCCTTCCTTCCTTCCTTCCTTTCTTTCTTCCTTCCTTCCTTCCTTGACAGGACTTCTCTGTGTAACAGTCCTGGCTGTCCTGGAACTCACTTTGAAGGCCAGGCTGGCTTTGAACTCACAGGAATCTGCCTGTCTCTACTTCTGGAGTGTTGGGATTAAGGGCATGCACCACTACACTGGGCATAAGATCTTTCTTTAAAAAAAAAAATTTCACCGTGTATGTGTGTATGTCTATGTATATGTGTGTATCTGTGTGTACACCATTGATGGCTTTTTTTTGTTTTGTTTTGTTTTTTGTTTTTCGAGACAGGGTTTCTCTGTAGCTTTGGAGCCTGTCCTGGAACTAGCTCTTGTAGACCAGGCTGGCCTTGAACTCGCAGAAATCCACCTGTCTCTGCCTCCGAGTGCTGGGATTAAAGGCATGCTCCACCACGGCCCAGCCATTGATGGCTTCTTTTGTATGACCTGAGGAAACAGGAACCAGTTTTGTCCCCCCTTCTCTGTCCCTGTAACCCAGGCCTGTGGAAGCTTCTAGACTTCCTCCTTCCCTCACTAGCAGCTGTCTTGCAACTGGGCTGGGGGTACCCCCCATGCTGTCTTGGGGTCAAGCTCTGCACGCTACTATCTTGGGGACAGCTCATCCCCAAGAACTACCTCTCTGCCACCCCTCCCCCATTCACGTACTTCTTGAAATCCCCATAGCCTTTATTTAGAAATTACAGGAAGGAAGTGGTATGGGGGGGTTATTTTTGACAATCTGGGTTTGAAATTAGACAGCTCGACTTATGGTAGCAGCCTCATGGACTGGGCTGTAGGCAGGTCTGGGGTCTGCATCATCTGTCTGCTCAGAGTGGGTGGAGGGGGGTACGGGTAGGGGTGGAGGGCGGGGGGAGGGCGGGGAAGGGAAGCATACTACTGCACTTTCTCCACACCTGAGTCTTGGGCCAGCCCTTACCTTTTTGCCATGTTGAAGAAAAGAGAAATGAAGTTCCACAGAGAGAAAGTTCCACCTCTCTCTCTGTCTGTCTGTCTGTCTGTCTGTCTCTGTATGTGCTGGGGATGGGACCCTAGGGCTTTAAGCATATTAAAAACATGCTTTACCACCAAGGCACACCCTAAGCAAAATGTAACTCTATGTGTATGTGTGGGCATGCGTGTGGGCATGTCCGTGGAGGTCAGAGGCCCTAGTTTTTATGGCTCTCCACCATGCACACACACATATACACCCACTCATGTGTGTGCGTGCACACACACACATACATGTGTCTGTGTATATGTGTCTCACACTATGTGGCTCAGTGGCCTGGAACTTGCTAGGTAGACCAGGCTGGCCTCAGATTCACAGAGGTCCACTTGCTTGTTTGATAGTCATAATAGTCACTGAGCCATCACACCCATCCCAAATGTAACTGTGTGTGTGTGTGTGTTTCTATATAGACCAGGCTGGCCTCTTGAGTGCAGGAATTAAAATCATGTGCCACCATGCCTAGCTCCAAGTGTGACTCTTTTATTTATTTTTTGGCTTTTTGAGACAGGGTTTCACTGTGTTGTGCAGCCCTGGCTGTCCTGGATCTCACTCTGTAGACCAGGTTAGCTTCAAACTGAGAGAGATCCAATTGTCTCTGCCTCCCGAGTGCTGGGATTAAAGGTGTGCCCCACAACCGCCTGGCTCCAAATATAACTCATTTCTTTTCCATTTGGTTTTTTGAGATAGGGTTTCTCTGTATAGCCTTGACTGTTCTAGAACTAGCTCTGTAGACCAGGTTGGCCTTGAACTCATAGAGATCTGCCTACTTCTGCTTCCCAAGTGCTGGGATTAAAGGTGTGCACTACCACCTGTCCACTCCAAATGTAACTCTTGAAGGCTGGAATGGGGGGAGCCCAGGTACCTGAGGAGCAGGTAGGACAATGGCAGGGTGTGACATTCTGTTTCTCCAAGGAATGAGGATAACCATCATTTGGGAGGAGTGAGGAGTGGGAGCAGGAAGTGGGGAACAAATGCTGGGAAGGAGGGAAAGGGTATCTGTACCCCCAAATAGGCACCTGCTTGTCCATCCTGTGACTGGGGCAGAAGAATGGGTGCAGAGGTGCACTTTGCTGGCCTAATGACCTGGACACATTACTAACCCTTGTGGCTGGTGCTGTAGGTTCTTCATGACTTCCCATTTCCTAGTAAGGGCTGCGCCTTTGATGGTGATCCTTTCTCTCTGCAGTGCCGGCATCGGCCGAACAGGAACGATCATCGTTATTGACATGCTCATGGAGAGCATCTCCACTAAGGGTGAGGACCCCTGGGCCGTGTGGGTAGGTGTGGGAGAGACAAGCCGTCCCTTGGCCTTGCCCACCCTGACGTTCCACGGCCACCCTTGTCCAGGACTAGACTGTGACATTGACATTCAGAAGACCATCCAGATGGTACGGGCACAGCGCTCTGGCATGGTGCAGACGGAGGCGCAGTACAAGTTCATTTACGTGGCCATTGCCCAGTTCATTGAGACAACCAAGAAGAAGCTGGAGATCATACAAGTGTGTCCAGAGTGGGGCTGATGGGTGGGAGGGGAGAGTGGGCATCACCCAGTCCTGCTCGTACCACCATCCTCCCACCACACCTTTGCCCACAGTCCCGGAAGGGTCAGGAGTCGGAGTATGGGAATATCACCTACCCTCCCGCTATGAGGAGTGCCCATGCCAAGGCCTCCCGTACCTCCTCCAAGTGAGTGATCCTGCTTGTCCTTCCAGCATCTCCCCCTTCTCCTGCCCAGTCTCGACTGTCCTTTCTGGAGTGGAATAGTGTGGAGGTTGGGGAGACCCTGGTTCAAGGTCAACCTTCTCCCTACTACCTCTGTTCTTCAGTTTTTTCTGAAGCGCCCACTGTGATTATGGGTGGGCCTGTGCTGAGGACCAGCTGTGGACTCCTGTGAGTGCAGTCTTTGCCCCCGGGAGCTTTGGGTCTAGTGTATGGACAGTGAGCGGGCTCTCTGGCTTTCCTGGCTTCACTAAGTGACAGTGAGTTCTGGAGGGGCTGCTAGTAGGGGATCTGCGCAGTGTCCAGATGCCTTCTCTCCCTCCCCCATGCCCAGACACAAGGAGGAGGTGTATGAGAACGTGCATAGCAAGAACAAGAAGGAAGAGAAAGTGAAGAAGCAGCGGTCAGCAGACAAGGAGAAGAGCAAAGGTTCCCTCAAGAGGAAGTGAACTGGGCACTCATCTGCAGGTGGCCATGGTGAGGCCCCTTCTCCCCCTGCCCCCGTTTCCCCCCGCTCCAGTTCTGACATGCGAGGGGTGGTCACAATCTCACTCTCCCCTGCCAGGGTGTCCCTGGGCCCCAGATACCCTCTGACCCACTTCCTCTCTTTTATCTGCAGCATCAGCCTTAATCCCTGCAGAGGCCTCCACTGGACAGATCAAGACCTGTGGCCCACACCAGACCCTGGGACCACCCCCATCATTTTGTAATTTAAATGGCTATGATCCTCTGAACCTGTATATAACCCAGCAAGCCCCCAGGCAAAGCCAGATTTCTATTCTTGTAAATAAAGCCCCTGGACCTCTGTGTGTTGCCTCCAACCTTGTGTGCCCCGTGTATCTGGAGGCTTTGGGCAGGCTGGGACTGGGTTGCCATGTGTGACTGTGTAAAAGTTCAATCTTCTGGGTTAGATAGACCCAGTTCTGGACGCTGCTTCACACAGCTAGATGCCTGCGGCCCTCCTAGGGCTTAGATTGTTCTGTGTTCTCCCTCTCTCATGCCGGGGATGGCACCTAGGTCTCCTGTGTGCTTAGCAAGTGCTCCAGCCTTCTTACAGCAGAGGGTGATCTGTGATCTGGACTCATCTGCCCTCCTCGGCTTGGTAGTGAAGATATTGCTATAGCGAGTGCCAATAACAGTGGCCACTACTACATTACACACTGGCAACAGGCCTGGGCCCTATTTAAGGGACTATAGAATGAATTAATACTAGATACATTCTTTTTATATATATATATATATAAATTTAAAAATTTTATTTGTTTGTTTATTTTGTCGTACGGGACAAAGCTCAGAGCATCCCACATGCCCGGTAGTGAGCAGCTTTCTCACTGAGCTATCTGTACCCCTGGCTCTCGCCTGGGGACCTCTATTATCCTTATTTTACAGTGCAGAAGTCTGAGAAAGTGAGGCCCAGGAGCAAGGTTGCTCGAGGTTCCGGGACTCCTGGCCTCCAGAGTCCATGTCCTGACAGACTCAGCAGGGCCCACCCCAGATTTGCCACACAGCCTGATGTTGATTGCTAGAGCCAACAGCTAGGAGATTTTCAGGAGGACTGACTTAGTGTAACCTCTCCCGGTCTGCAATCCCCAAAGCACATGGGGACATCCCATTGCTGAGGCCCTCATCGTCCTGGACACTGAAGATCATTTTATGATTTTTGTGCCCCTTCCTTTTCTTTTGTCTAGAATTGGGTTCTTTATACATAACTGGAATCTCCTGAGCAGTTGGGTGTGCCAGTCATACCTTGGGAAGAGCTGGCTCCCACCAGGCGAAGGATAGCTTATTGGCCTGAGTACCCCCTGTGTTAACGGGTTCTAGGGCCGTGCTGGGGGCAGTTGAAGGTGACAAGTGAACTTATCATACTGGGACTTGGGAGATGTCTGGGAAACCAAGCCAGAATTAGGCCACAAAAATAATTACAACGGAAAAGTATGGAGAACAAAGGAGGGGGAAGCCACGGATCTGGGATTGAGCAACGTGATAGCTCCCTGGAGCTAGGTGGCCCTCCAGGGGGTGAATGGGTGGGGCCATCACCTGTGCACCGCAGGGCCCCTCTCCCAGCAACACCGAGCCACACAGAAGAAAGGCAGGTCCTATTCTTAACTGCTCGGGACTTCTTCGAGGGCCAGCACAGAAGAGGGCTCTGAGGAGAGGTGGGTTGCAAGCACCATCGCTTGGGGTGTAGCGAATGTAGGGCAAGAACAGGTCTCCACTTTCCTCCCTAGGTGGGGGCTGGGGCCTTTAGGTCATCGGGACAGACACTCCAACATCAGGGGAAAGCAAAGCTGCGGAGGCTAGCTGCGGAGGCTTGCTGCAGAGGCTACCCGCGGAGGCTAGCTGCGGAGGCTGGCTGCGGAGGCTAGCTGCGGAGGCTAGGGGATCCACAGGTTTGGTGGGGCTTCCGTCCTTCCCAGTTCTCAAGGAGTTCTCCAACTCTGGCTTAGCACTGGAGAGGGACACAGACCAATGCCTGCCTAGCTGACCCCACACTGACCTCAGAGAGGATCCTCCGACTCGGCCCGAGGGCGCGGTTGGCGGCCTCAGAGGAGAGGGCTTTTGGCTTGGGGAAGGAGCCGCTGGAAGGGTTTCCAAAGATGGCCTCTCTCCTTATTCCTTTAGAAACAGGGAAAGAGTAGGCAGGAGAAGAAAGGCCGCCAGAAAGGGCGGGAGGCCTGGCAAGGTGGCCAGGCCTGAAGAGGAGGTGCCCAGGGCTGGTGCTGGGAGGGAAGGAGTTAAGGCGGAGAGGGGGGCAGCCTATGGCAGGAGGACACACCTGTGCGCAGGGCAGCAGGCGGGCGGGGCCCAGGTGAGGCGCCAGTGGTGCCCGGCAGGTGAAGAAGGAAGAGGAAGAGTGGCGGCCAAGCTGGCTCTAGGCGGTTGAATCCGGGCCTTGATACCCCTTCCTTTCTTCTGCACCACTCTGGGGGTCAGGCGGGTCTGGTGCCAGGTAAAGGCCACCGCTCACGGGGTCCTGGGGCTACGCTAGGAGCTGTAGAGTGCAGTGAACTGATGTGTGTTGGGGGCTGCGACGGGCTGTAGAGTGGTAGGGGGCTGGCTCTCAGGTGGACAGCAGAGGGGTACGGGGGGCAGGGCTGCTGAAGCTGATTTTGGTCTCAAGGATGGGCAACTCAGGGTGCGCTTGGTGTTGAGTAGCAAGGCTCACCCGGAAGTGTCCCAAATGACGCGGAGGTGGGGGATGGGAGCCAGAGATCTGGGGCTTCTCCACAGGGTGCTTGGGCTTAGCCAGGACTGATCTTGGAGGTGGACTGGTTGGGCAGGGGCCCTCGTCTTACCCAGCAGTGTTTGGGTGCTGGTTGGGAGTCTCTAATACTGCCGGGTAATGATGGAGGCCCCTGTCCCCGTGTCAGCGTCGTCCATTGCTTCAGATCCCTGGTCCCTACCTGATAGCAAACTCCTTCCTCTGCCCCACATACCCTGAAAGCCCCTTCTCCTGAGTTAAGGGTGCTGCAGAAATGGTTCTCGGGTTGGCTGCTCGCCCACCGGAGGAACACAATGGCCCCGGCCCCTCCTCCAACCCAGTGTGATTTGTCATCTGGTAGACTGAGAACCTACCTGACGCAGACTTTGGCCTTGGGATTGAGCACGCACTCAAGAGCCCCCAGCCAGCCAGCTCTAGCACCTGATCAGCTGTCGTCTGGTTTTACGTTGGCCGGCTCTGGGTCCATCTTCCAGTGCAGTGTTGGATGGTTGAAGTACGAAGCTCCTAACACTGTCTGGTAAAGATGGCCCCCGGGTCAGTTCCCTCAACAGTGACCTTCCTGGAGCCTTGAAGACCATGGAGGCCACCAGACCAACAACCTCTGACCTTTAACCTTCTGGATGGGGTGTGTATGTGTGACTCACTTGGCAAAGGGGAACAATGGGAAAGAGACAAAATGGCTGCCTCCAGAACAGCAGCAAGATTTGGAAACACACTTGGTCCCTAGGCTTTTCCACCCTAGGAACGTTGAATGTCTGTGAGAAACAAGGGATACTGGTTTCGGCCTGAGAGAACCCAGGGAGCTGAAGCTACCACACCCTCCAGCCCTGTCTGAGGTTCACCTTTTCTCCTATTGCATTTGATAGTTTCACATTATTTATCTACCCAGAAGGAAAAAGATGGCAAAGGTTCTAGTGAGGGGCAGGTTATGAGCAATGGCTTCAACTTTCCAGTACTTGGATGTAGTGTCTTCAGAATGAGGCAATCTGTGGAAAAATAGGTTCTTGTTCAGCTGGGCTCCAGGGCGGTGGGGGCGGGCAGCCCACCTCCGTAGGGATAACCCTACACGCAAATAGCTCATCGTATCTGGGGACTAAGTAGCAGTGCTAACAGTGTGCATGGCCCACTGGGCTTTAGAACACACATGATCTCCCCATAGCTACACAGAAGCTGGTAACCAAGGAAGCAGCTCCCGTTGGGGTCATCAAATTTTCAGTTTGGCTCAGCAAAGCCACAGCTGCCCCAGCTCACAAAAGATGTTATTAAATCAGCAGGTTCATTTGGTAGACACGGCGGCTGCGGTGAAGGGGTGTGTAGTTGGGCCTTTGACTGAGATCTGCTGCTCCCACCCAGCTTAGCGCCTGTTTTGGAGCCAGCAGGCTCTGAGGACCCGCTGTAAGGCCAGATCACTAGTATTGCCAGACTGCTTGTGCCACCTGCTGGCAGAGACCCAGAGTGCACCCTCTCTAACTCACTCAGGCAAAACCCTGGCTTCAGTTTAAGTAATAAAAGTTTTATTGAGAATTTCTGGGATGGTGGTTATCTCCCCCCATGGGGGTGGGACAACAGTGTAGGGAATCTCCGAGAATCACACTGCTTCTCCCCTCCCCCAGGCCAAGACAGGGAGGAGGAAAGCCCTCAGCAACAGCTGGTCTTCAGTCTTCCTTAATCCAAGAGGGCCAAGTACAGAGGACTCTGTCACATGATGCTTGCAGGGTGGGGCGTGCTTGACCTCCCTAGCTGGCTCCTCAAAACTAGCGAGAAATGCATCCACTCTGGTGGTGGAGTTCTCCAGCCCACAGCTCATTTCTTAGCCTTAATGAGGCTGTCGCTGTAGAACAAAGGGAAAAATGTTCCTGATGTTATGGGCGTCATAAATGTGAGATGCAAACCACACCAAACTATCCCCTTCCCAAAGGAAGGTCTGGGAGCAGGTGGCCCCCATGTCCCAGCAGGGATGCAGTTCCTTACCTTCCCCTACAGCCAGCACAGCATGGAGTCAGCAGGAAACAGAAAGAAGAGATAGACATGATTGTTAGCTTCAGGCCCCTGCTGCCCTTGACCCTTATACCAGCTCCCCCATGACTGCCCTTTTGGCTTCTGCAGCCCTGATACTTTCACTGCCAATGAAGCAGCATTCAGGTTCTCCAGCCAGAATTCGGAACTCTGTCGGTCACCACTTTTCACTAAGTATTTATAAATAAAGTGCCTTTTACACAAGAAATCCCATTTTGTTTTGTAAAGTCAGTCCTTGAGAATGTAACATAGGAACTGCCAACCAGTCAGACACTGACTTTTCTGACCTTGGTGTTCAGGGAAACTGTCAAGGGCCCCATGATGAACAGATTCCAGAACCCAAGGACCCTGCTCTCTGCACAGCGACATCTCTTACCGAGTAAAGCTTTCATCCTGTAGATTCAGCACAAGGTTGTCGGCCGTGAGATAGATGCGGTTCTGGGACGTGGCGATCTACAGGACAGGGAATGGATCCTGTGTTAGAGGCCTCAAGCCTCCCTGCCATTCAGTGACCCACCCAGTAACCAAGAGGACACAGCAGTGAGAAGCCTCGGTGTCACACTTCCGTAACACACCCCACAAACACAAAGTCTGAGGAGTCACTCTTGGGGAAGGCACCAAAGAATCAAGCTCTAACCCCATCGTGTGATTGTGTATAACTGGATACTTTCCCTCTCAGCGGGCAGTCTTGGGAGAGTGGGGCCTTCCTCTCACCGTCTTAGAGATGTTCTGGGCGGCCCGGATCTTTCGGAGCTTGATATAGCCGGGATTCTTGCTCAGTGCTTCTCCAAGGTAAGCAGGCAGGGTTAAGGGTTCATCTAGGCCAGGTTACACCTGCCACAATGTGCGCCCCCCACCCGCCCTGACCTCTGGGCTGTCAGATTCAAGGTTGAGCTCACATAAGCCACTCACACTTTGGCCCCCCTCTGTGGGCCTCCCTGCAGGCTGCTGCCAAGAACTGTGGTAGCAGCAGACATGAAGGCAAGGCCAGCAATGCTAGTGATCTGTTTAAAAGCGGGAAGTCAGGTCTCAGGTACCCCCACCAAGATTACAGATCTCATCATCCCCCCCCCCCCCCAGCCAAGAGTCAGCAGGCACAGTCGCATTCGCCTTGGTCTCATCAGCCAGCCCACGAGGGAGGATGGGAAGCGGGGCGGGGCAGCCCAGGGGCCAGGCCAGGCCAAGCTCTCTGCGACACAAGGATATCATCTTGGCAGCCTCAGCCTCCCCCTCAGCCTGCACGATCTTCTGTCGCTGTTCCTGCTTTGCTTTTTCCACCAAAAACTGGGCCCGCTGGGCTTCTTGCTGGGCTGTGGTGGCAAGTGAATGAATGAGGTTATGGCTGTGGGTGGCAAGACTCCAACCACATGCAGTCCCCTTCCCCCACCTCCAGGAGCCCATTGATCTACTCCTCAGGTGGCTTACCCACTTGTTTGGCTTCTACAGCAGCTGTGTACTCTCGGCTAAAGCTCAGCTCGGTGATAGCTACATCGTCCAGAATGAGACTGAAGTCCTTGGCGCGCTCCGTGAGCTCTCTTCGGATCAACAGGGACACCTGGGGCAGGAGTAGAGCAGGGAAGGGAGGGGTGGCTTGAGGGGATCAGAACTGGAAGGAAGGTGATATTGCTATAACCACCCGAATACCAGAGCTCCCGAGTATGAACAGCAAAGCCACCCCTTCTTAAGTCCTCACACATTCATTAGAAAAAAATCTGATTCAATGTCTTCATGTGACAGAAGAGGACCAGAAAGGTAGCATGACTGCCCCATGTCACACTGACTCCTAATCTTCCCTTTCTTCCATGCAATATATATCGGCTTAGCTTCCTGCCAAACAAGAAAAGAATTTCTTGAGATGTGGGTAAGACTATTATAACCATTGTTTCCTCCTATGCTTCCTTCTTAACACCTGGTATCGTGTTCTATAGTTGTTTCGCTTTATTTACCAGAGTGATAATCAGCACAGCTTTCCCACATCAAATTGGCTATGCAGCCAAAGATAACCCTAAACATCTATGATCTTCTTGCTGCTACCTTCAGAGTGCTGGGGTCATAGGCGTGTGCTACACCTGGTTTAAATAATGCTTAGGATTAAACCCAGGGCTTGTGTATGTACGCTAGGCAAGCACTCACCAGCTGAACTACAGCTCCACCCCCACATCCTTCTACTTCTATAAAATGCCCTTTTAGTACCCAGGACCATGCAGACAGCACTAGGAATCAGACCTGAGCCCGCTGGGTAATCAGCTGCGAGGCATTGAACTTGGCCACCACACTCTTGAGCACCTCGTTGACAATGGATGGCAGCACTCGCTCCTCATAGTCTAGCCCGAGGCGCTGGTACATGCTGGGGAGCTCCTGGGCATTGGGTCGAGACAGCACACGCAGGGAAATGTTCACCATCTGCAGGTCTAAGGGCGAGGCCAACAGTGACTGGTTAAAGCCAAGTTCCCCATCAGCGGACCCCCAGGCTTTTGCTACTGTACTGGGTGCAACCTCCAGTGTGGGCACAACTGTGGGTCTCCCCCTAGACTCCAACGACTTGAGAACCAGAGCTGTCAATTTTCAAGGCCTATGACTTAGCAAATGAATGCACGACACACATCAAAAACAGCACAAAGAAGTACAGTGCTGTGGGCCACTTGCCTCTGAGTGTACGCGTGAATGAGGCAGGGCTCCTAAGTATGGTCTACAAGGAAGCGGCCAGTGAAGAGTGGAGAGTTCCTCCAGAGCCAAGATACACTGCGGATGTACTCAACCAGTCAACAGAAAAAGGCCTTAAAAAGACTTGCATCTGGGAGCAAGGACGACCATAAAGAAAGGCAATTCTAGGATCCAGTTTATGTTAGGCAGAAAGTACGTCAAAACTGTTCTGCCCAAATCCGCGAAGTCCTCTAAAGCCAACAAGGACACCGAGTCCCGGATGTAAAAGCAAAGAGTCTTTATTTTAATCAAGTTTGCAAACTCAGTCTCTCCGCATGTCCAACATATTGGAATAACCGGAGAGCCCCGAGCTCAATTAGAATTGGGTTTTTATAGTAGTAAAGGTGGGGGTGAGGGGCTTCTGAGGTTTAGGACCCCTGATTGGCTGACATTTGTCTAGGGGTGTCCTGGTGAGAGTGTGCTGGCAGGTGGTCCTATCTACAGTGGTTGGAATGTTAGGCATTTCCTTCAAACTACTGAGATTCAGACCTCTTATTAAATTTATCGAGGGCCAGAGTTCTACTCTGGCAGCTGATAATGGTTGGAAATAAAGAACTTTCTTTGGGTGACCTGTTCATACCTGTGGCTGACCCCACAAAAACGTGCCAGCATACCGCGTGTTGGAACTACTGTTTTAAGCCACGAGGCTCGCTCTTTGGAAGATACAGAAACCAAGACCTCAGAAACATTACCATTTCTGGTGGCTTTGCCAGGCTCAGTTTGTTTACTTGTGTCCCCACCTGCCATGCAGCTTCCGATTGCCCACACTTACCTTTGGAACCTGTAGGGGAGGAGATTTTTCGGGGTCTGGCCCGAATGTCATAGATGATGGGGTACTGGAACCAGGGGATCCTGGAGAGGAGAGGTCAGGGACAGGAGTTGGGAAACTGCAGTTTTATTGATTTTGACCAGTTTCCCCCCCTCCACTAGTCTTTGGGCCTGCTCCTCCCCATGACCACAGACAAGGAGATTCTCTTTTCCCTTTGCAGAACAGCCCTTTATGCACTGCTGGAGTTTCGGAGCACCCACTGTCCTAGGAGCTGGGGGGGGGGGGGTGAGTGAGGAAGGGAAAAAGCAGCTCTGAAGCCTGCAGTTAAATCTGGCTACAGCCGTCAAGGGTGAAGGGTCAGGGCCCGTTTGCTCTGCCCGCCATTACCTAAAGTGAAGTCCCTCGGCCAGGATTGTGTCCTGTTGCACGCCGCCGATCCGGTTAAAGAAGATGGCTCTATGACCACCTTCCACTGTGGGAAGAGAGGTGGGAATCAGGAGAAGGCGTTGATGAAAGTACTGGTCGGCGCAGAAGGGACGGGGATGCGGGAATGGGTAGGCGCCGACAGCTTGGGGAGGCAGGTCAGTGAGGCAGGGGACCAAGAGGTGCAGCCAGCGAAGGAGGTTGCTCACCGGTGAACACGGATTCGCGCACGCCGTAGGCCACGGCCCCGGCCCCCAGCAGCAGCTTCAGCGCCGTGCCCATGCCCCGAGGCCCGGCGGGCAGGCGTCCCGCTAAATCCTTTAAGTTCTGAGCCATGTCTGGTCCTCCCGAAGGCGGCGGCACCGGAGGTCAGGAGGGGGTGCCCGCCAGCCTCTACCCCACTCCAGTTTTCAGACCTCGCCCTGCACACGAGGATTGGGGGCCGTGGTGCTCGCAGGAGAAAGGGCACCGGAAGTGCGCTTCCCCCTGAACCCGCCCCTTTGCTTAGGCGGACCCGAACTTCGCGCACAGTAATAGCGCGTCCGGAAGTCCCGCCTCCTTCGGAGGCGTGTCCTTCTCGAGAGGTTTCGGTAGTTCCGGACTATTGCTATCGCCATTTCCAAGCGCCCTCGTTCAAAATGGCAGCTGGGAGGAAGTTGGCAGTGAGGACCGACGCGAGGTTCTGGTTTAAGGAAGTTAGCGCAATTTCCGGTCTGCTTACAAGATGGCTGCGCCCAGTGGTGGTTTCCAACCTCGTGAACGGCGTTTTGCAGCGCAGGAGCAGGATTGGGATAATGCGCCGCCTAAAAGACCCCGGTTTGGGGCAGGAAGCAAGAGCGGAGGCCGTAGACTCATTGTGGTGCTGGAAGGCGCCAGTCTGGAGACAGTCAAGGTAGTTTGGAACAGAGTGTGGAGTAGTAAGTCGATTAGGTTCTGTGGGGACCAGGGACCAGGGACACAGGATGGATGGAAAAAACTGAGCAGTGAAATGTGAAGGATGACCTAGTTTCGCAGGCTGCTGGAGCCCTGGGCTGGCAATCTTTTATTTTGCTCTTCTTGAGGCATTCGCGCTTTCACCTTTTAGTTGACTTATCAGGGAGTCTGTGATATAAAGTGGAAAGTGAGGGAGGCGTTACCTGTTAAGGTCTCAAATCCCAAAGGCCAATGACTTTCCAGCCTTTTATTGCTAAGGATTTAGTATTTTATTTTGGTAAAAAGACTCTTCTATCAGCTTGCTCTACATTTCTGCCTATCTTGAAGCATGTTTGGATCAATTATTTAATAAGCCTTCGCCTTTATTTTTTAATCTGTTATTTATTACCCTGAGCGTAGTCAAATGAGCAGTCTTATCTAAAAACTTTGTGTAGTGTTTGTGTATGTATGATAGCGCGCGCACACACACTCACACACACACCCTTTAAAGATTGATTTTACTTTTACCTATCTATGTGTGCAAGCCTGCATTTGATTGTGAGGCACCTATTGGTGCTGGGAACCCAAGTTGGTCCTCTGCATGACTCACTCCTAACACCACCCACCTCCATCTCCAGCCCCTTCATTCCATCTCTTGTGTCTCACCTTTCAGAGCTAAACTTCTTTAGTGTGTAGGGCCAGAAGTTTATACACACAAACACACATTGGTTGGTTTTGACATGCAGCCAAGGTTGGCCTGGAACTCTCCATACTCAGCCTCCAAAATACTAGTAATGATTGCTTGTCGGTGATTTTTACCATTCCTGACCTGACCTGGATTCTAATTTTGGTCCTTAGTGACGGTAAGGAAAGTGTGTCCTCACTTTGTAAAGCTGTGGTGTTTCCTAATAACTGAAGTGAGTCTTGTCCATCTTCTCTTCATTTGTGTGGGGTTTTTTTTTGTTTTGTTTTGTTTTGTTTTTTGTTTTTCGAGACAGGGTTTCTCTGTGGCTTTGGAGCCTGTCCTGGAACTAGCTCTGTAGATCTGTAGACCAGGCTGGTCCTCGAACTCACAGAGATCCGCCTGCCTCTGCCTCCTGAGTGCTGGGATTAAAGGCATGCGCCGCCATCACCCGGCTTCATTTGTGCTTTATTAAAACTTTGTGCTTTACTAAAACTTGCAGTTAGAAAACCTGTTTGTTTGTTTTTTTCAAGACAGAGTTTGTTTGTGTAACAGTCTTGGCTGCCCTGGAACTCTCTGTAGACCAGGCTAGCCTTGAACTCACAGAGATCCATTTAACTCTGCCTCCCAAGTGCTGGG